CGCAGCCCCCAGATCACCACGGTCTCCGACGTCACCGGATCCGGCTTCTTCTTGGGAGGCGCCGTCGTGGCCTTGGGAAAAAAAAAAAAAAAAAGGAGGGAAAACCACCAGGAAAAGATGGGTTAGGATGGCAAAATTCCCCCCAAAAATTACTCCGGGATGTGATGAGAGCAAGGGAAATGGTGGAGTGGTGGGGGAGTCCTTGATAATTTGGGAATGTTGGAGGGATTTTTGAGGAATGGGAGCAGGAGTGATCCTGGAAAGTCTTTTTCCAGCCTTTTCTTGGCTCGTTCTGGAATTCCTTTCTCTGCTTTCCCAAAGGGTTTTAAGGCTGGGAGAATTCCTTCCTCCAATTTTCCAAAGGATTTTTGAGGAATGGGATAATTCCTTCCTCCAATTTTCCAAAGGATTTTTCAGGAATGGAAGAATGCCTTCCTCCAATTTTCCAAAGGATTTTTGAGGAATTGAAGAATTCCTTCCTCCGATTTCCCAAAGGATTTTAAGGCTGGGAGAATTCCCTTCTCCAATTTTCCAAAGGATTTAGAGGAAGGGAGAATTCCCTTCTCCAATTTTCCAAAGGATTTTAAGGCTGGGAGAATTCCTTCCTCGAATTTTCCAAAGGATTTTTCAGGATGGGAGAATTCCCTTCTCCAATTTTCCAAAGGATTTTAAGGCTGGGAGAATTCCTTCCTCGAATTTTCCTAAGGATTTTTCAGGATGGGAGAATTCCTTCCTCGAATGTTCCAAAAGATTTTAAGGATCAGGGAATTTCCTTCTCCGCTTTTCCACTGGATTTTAAGGATTGGAATCACAGTCAATGAGAACCTGAATGAGAAAATTCCTGGAAAAATTCCTGGAAAAATTCCTCTCTTCGTTTTCCCAACGAATTTTAATGGAAACACATCCTCAAGAAAACTGCTGATCCAGGAGGAAGCAGAGTGGAATTCTGGGATAAAAAATTATGGGATTTGTTTGATGGAAAGATAAACTCAGCCTAAACCTAAAGGCTGGAAATCCTCTGAAATATTCCACGGGATTTTTAGGGAAGATCCTTGGAGCTACAGCTGGAAAACAGCTGGAATAAAACCGGGACCTAAAGTTGGAATTTTTTTTTTTTTTGGGAAGTGGAATTCCTCAAGGTGATTCCTCCAGGAGTTTTATCCAGGATTATTCCCAATTTATTCTCCTGGGATTGGCTCAGATTCAGGATCCGATTCCCAGGCCAATCCCTGCCCTCAATATCCCGGGATTTTTTGCTGATTTCTGGGATCAGGAGCAGGGAAGGGGATTTTTGGGATCAAGTAGGGATTTAGGGATTTCAAACACATCCCGGGGTTTTTCTGATTCTCTTCCCAAATTTTCCAAAGGCCTGGGAGCGAGCTGAGCTTTTCCTTAATCAAATCCAAGATTTAAAGGGATTTTTGCCTCTATCCCAAATATTCCCATGGTTTTTTTCCCTTTATTTTTCCTCATCCTTGGGAGGTTTTTTTTGGAATTTTTCCAGCTGCTGGAATTATTTTCCTCTCCTTCTTTTTTTTTTTTTTTCCTCCTCTGTTTGCTCCAGCCTGGCTGAGCTGGAATCGAATTATTCAGGATAATTCCATTATCCAATTATTTCCTGGAATAAACTCCTCACAGAGCTTTTGCTTTTCCAGGAAAAAAAAAAGGGATAAACAAAGCAGATCCTGAAATTTTCCCTGGTTTATCCCAATTTTTGGGGCTTGGATGTTTTGTGTTTTTTGGGAATAAAACAAATGGAAAATGTTCTGGCTGGCTGGATCGTCCCTGGGATTCAGGGAAGGATAATTTGGGAATTCTGCATTGTCAGGGAAAGTTCTGCTTCATTTCTGCCCTTGGGAATGGTTGGACAGTTTGGAAAACCTGGAATTCTTCCTGGGCTTGGAAAGGATTCCTGGATCCTTCGCTGGGGATTTCTGGAATGCTCAGGTAGGGTGGGATGGGGGAAAATCAAGGATTTGGTTGGGAATGAGAGGGTGGAAATCCTGGGGAAAAAAAAATATGGAAAGGGAAATTCTGGGAAAAAAAAATCAGGACAAATGGAAGGATGAGAGGCCAAAAATCCTGGGAAAAAAAATGGGAAGGGAGGGATGAGAGGCTGGAAATCCTGGAAAAAAAATCAGGATAAGAGCAGGGATGAGAGGTTTGAAATTCTAGGGGAATAAATCGGGACAAAGGGAAGGATGAGAAGTGTGAAATCCTGGGAAAAAATGGGAAGGGAGGGATGAGAGGCTGGAAATCCTGGAAAAATATATGGAAAAGGAAGTCCTGGAAAAAAAATATGTAAAACAGCAGGGATGAGAGGCTGAAAATCCTGGAAAAAAAGATCAGGAAAAAGGCAGAGATAAGAGACTGGAAATCCTGGAAAAAAATATGGAAGGAGAAATCCTAAGGAAAAAAAAAAAACCAGGATAAGTGCAGGGGTGAGAGGTTTGAAATCCTGGGAAAAAAAATCTGGGAAAGGTCAGGAATGAGAGGCTGGAAATCCTGGAAGAAAAATATGGAAAGAGAAACCTTGGAAAAAATCAGGAAAAGGGATGAGAGGCTGGAAATCCTGGAAAAGGTCAGGGATGAGAAGCCAGAAATCCTGGAAAAAATATGAAAAGGGAAATCCTTGGAAAAAAAATCAGAAAAAAAAAGGCAGGAATGAGAGGTTTGAAATCCCGGGGGAAAAAAAAAAGGAAAAGGGAAAGGGACGAGAGGCTGGAAATCCTGGGAAATTCCTGGAATTTTCAAATCCCAGAAATCGAAGCAAAATCCTGCTCCAAAAATTCCAAACTGGAGCAGCGACTCCAGCAGGGAAAGTTTTTTGGGAGCTGGGATTTTTTTTTAAATTTTTTTTTTCCAGGCAGGAATTTTCTCTGGAATTGCTGGCAGGGATCAGGAGTTGCTTTTTCCCTCCTGGATTATTCCCGGTTTTTCCATAGGAGTGGGAATGCAGAGTCATCCTCAGGGAAAAGGAGAAATTTCCTGGGAATTCCCTGGGAATTCCAAGTTTTTTGGTTTTTTTTTTTTTTCCAGGATTACAGGGAATGAGGGAAAACAGGAGAAGGAAAACACATCCCAAATATTTCCCTTGGGAACATCCATCAAGAGGAATAGGATTTTTCAGGATCATTCCCACTTTTTTTTTAATTTTTTCCCCCTTGCTCCTCAAATTATTGGAAAACTGAGAAAATTTCCAGCTCGAAATTCCCAATCCCAACCCTTTAACAAACATCAAAAATTCCCAAAAAACCCCAAACCCTGGAACTCTTTGGATCCACCTTAAATTCCCGGCCGGTTGTTGTGCAGGAAAATCGCTCATTCCCGCCTCATTCCCATTTTTCCAGCGGGATTTTTTTTTTTTTTTTTTTTTTTTCCAGCGGGATTTTTTTTTTTTTTTTTTGGGAATTTTTTCCAGCGGGATTTTCCTTACCTCGATCAGCTGCGCCAGGGAAAGTCTGGAGCGAGCCAGGACGAGGCAGGAAAATCCCAAAGAATTCCAGGGTGGATCCCACGCCATCTTTTCTCTTCTCTTCCCGATTTTTTTATTTTTTTTTTTTTCCCCTGCTGAGTTTTGGGATTTTTTTTTTTATTTTTTTATTTTTTTTTGGGATCTCCGGGAAAAGTCCCGGCCTGGCTTTTCCAGAGGCGCTTTCCAAGCGGGAGCGGCGGCGGCGGGGAGTCGTTAATTAATTAATTAAATTAATGAGGCGGTGTCGATGACGGAGCCCCGGGAGGGGGGATCGGGAGCAGCGGGAGCGCTTCCTGCTTTTCCAGAGGGGAAGAATTCCCGCTTTTCCAAGAAATAATTCCTGCTTTTCCAAGAAATAATTCCTGCTTTTCCAAGGAACAATTCCTGCTTTTCCAGAGGGGAAGAATTCCCGCTTTTCCATGAAATAATTCCCGCTTTTCCAAGAAATAATTCCTGCTTTTCCAAGGAACAATTCCTGCTTTTCCAAGGAACAATTCCTGCTTTTCCAGAGGGGAAAAATTCCAACTTTTCCAAGGACGAATTCCCGCTTTTCCGAGAAACAATTCCTGCTTTTTCCAGGAGGGAAAGGAATTCCAACTTTTCCAAGGATGAATTCCTGCTTTTCCAAGGAGGAATTCCTGCTTTTCCAAGGAGGAATTCCTGCTTTTCCAAAGGGAAAAAAAAAATCCTGCTTTTCTAAGAAATAATTCCTGCTTTTCTAAGAAATAATTCCAGTTTTCCAAGGAGCTTTTCCAAGGAGCAATTCCAGCTTTTCCAAGAAGGAATTCCTGGTTTTTCAAGGAGGATTTCCTGCTTTTCCAGAGGGGAAAGAATTCCAATTTTTTCCAAAGACAAATTCCTGCTTTTCCAAGAAATAATTCCTGCTTTTCCAAGAAATAATTCCTGCTTTTCCAAGGAATAATTCCTGCTTTTCCAGAGGAGAAGGAATTCCAGCTTTTCCAAGAAGGAATTCCTGCTTTTCCAAGGTGCAATTCCTGTTTTTCCAAGCCTGGCTTTGCCTATCCAGGTTTTTTTCCCAAATTTTTGGCTTAGGGAGGGAATTTTTTTTTTTTTCCTTAAAGAAAAAAAAAAAAAGGGGGGGGGGGGGGGATTCAAGCCAGGCTGGAAGGGGATATTTGGAATTCCAGGATTTTGATCCCATGTGGATTTTAGGGATGTGTTGCTCCACTTGGATTTTCATGGAATCGTGGAATTCCCGAATTCTTTGGCTTCAGAGCTCATCCCGTTTAATTCCAGGAATATTCCCTGGAATATCCCATTGGATATTCCAGGAATTCACAGCTTTTTCTGGGAATTCCATCCCCAAATCCCACCAAACATCCCCTCCTTCCCTGATTCCTGAATTTCTGGGATTTTGGGATACTGGCCTGGGAGAATTCTGGGATCCGGGATTATTCCAGTTTTTTTTTTTTTGGTTTTTTTTTTTTTTTTTTTGGAATCCAACAGAATTCCAGGATAAAACCATTCCCAAGGGGAAGGAATATTCCAGGAATTTGGAATTTGGAGGATTTCCAAAGGGCTGGGAGAAGATTTTCCGGGAGAAAATCTTTGGGATTTCGGGATGTGGGAAGAGCCACGCGGTGGCAGCAGCGGGACAAGGAATTCCCGCTTCCCAAATTTCCTCTGGAATTCCAGAATTTTTAGGAAACATTTCCCCCGAGCTGCTTTTCCAGCGGATTTTTTTTTTTTTTTTTTTGGAACGAGGCTCCTGGATCCAAGATTTTCTTTGTTCCCCTCCCCCTTTATTTTCCTTTTCCCGGATTTCCCAAATTTGCTGGTTTCCAAAAAAAAAATCGGGAGAAAATTCTGGGAGATCTCCAAGAATTCCCAGGATTTTTGGTTTGGGATTAAAACCATTCCCTGTGGAAGCGAGAGGGGATAAAATCCAGGATAAATCCTGAATTCCAGAGGATTCTGGGAATGCTGGGCCAACCCATGGGAAACTCAGATTCCCAAATCCACAACAAAATGGAATTTTGGAATTCTTTCCTTTGGGAAAATTCTGTGGGAATTCTGGGATGAGGTTCAGAGAATTTTTTGGGAATGCATTCC